GGTAGGGAGAGGGGTTTCTGGAAAGCTACCAGAGGAAACGCCGTAGACCACCTCCGCCCAGAGGACTGGTGGGATTTGTCATCGGTAATCGATGAACGCGCTGCTATTGTTGACGCTTCACATATCCCCACCAGCCCATCCAGAAACGATGCCCAGGAGAGTTGAGATGATACGAGAAGTGGGGGAGCATGCAGAAGGACAAAGGGCGGGGGACGCCGTCATATACCGCAGGAGGGGGAGGATGGAGGAGGAATCGTCGTCGTCGAAGGAGGAGGAGGAGGAGGAGGAGGAGGAGGAGGAGGCGGAGTAGGGCGAGGACGAGGAGGACGAGAAGGAGGAGAAGGAGGGAGAGTTGGGTACCTCGGAGATCCTCTTGGGGCCTCGTATAGGGTCTCTCGGGAGCCTCTTGGAGGCATCTTCGGGCTGCCTGAGCGCCTCTTGGGGCCCTCCTGGGCCGCTCTTGGGAGCTTTAGGGGCGCTGTTGGGGCCATCTTGGAGGACATCGATCACAAAAAGGTGAGCTTCAATTTGCCTCCCCCCTTGGGAGCACCGACAATCGCCTCCTGGACCTCTCTTGGATCGCTCTTGGGGCGCTCTTGGGGCCGTCCTGGGGCTCTCTTGGGCCTCTCCTGGGGCTCTCCTGGGCCATTTTGGATGCACCTTGAGGCTTCGGATGGCCATCAAAAGCGAAAAGGCGAGAAAGCAAAAATCATTAATTTTCTTTTGGTGTTTGAAGGAGTTTGGCTTCTTGGGGGCCTCTTTGGAGGTCTCGGAAGCCTCTTGGAGCAGTCTTGGAACGTTTTGGGGGCTTTTTGAAATCAGATCGTCGTTGTCCTTCGGTCTGGCCAGCCCGCGCGCCGGCTCCGCTCGGGAAGAGGGACGAGGAGGAGGAGGAGGGAACGAGGAGGGAGACAGGGAGGTGAGGGCAGGATCAACGAGGGGGGAGGCAGGAGGGAGGGAGGGAGGAAGCCTGGCAAAGGGAACGGGGAGGGAGGAGGGGCGGGGGGGGGGCAAGAGGGAGAGAGGAGGAAGGGAGGCTCCTCCTCCTCTTCCTCTTTCTCCTCCTCCTCCTCCTTTTCCTCCTCCTCCTCCTCCGATTTTCGTTTTCCGGTTTCCGTTTTCCGGTTTCCGCTTTCCGTTTTCCGTTTTCCGTTTTCCGCTTTCCGTTTTCCGGTTTCCGTTTTACGGTTTCCGGTTTCCGTTTTCCGTTTTCCATTTTCCGCTTTGCGTTTTCCGGTTTCCGTTTTCCGGTTCCGGTTTCCGGTTTCCGTTTTCCGTTTTCCGGTTCCGGTGCTCTCCCGTGGGCACCCGCGTCTTTCTACGCCATTTTCCGTTTTCCGTTTTCCGTTTTCCGATTCCGGTGGTCTGCCGTCGGCTCCCGGCTCCCTCTTCGCTGTTTTCCGGTTTCTGCTTTCCGTTTTCCGGTTTCCGGTTCCGGTCTCCGTTTTCCGTTTCCCGTTTTCCCGTTCCGGTGCTTTCCCGTGGTCCCTCGCGTCTTTCTGCGCCGTTTTCCTTTTTCCGTTTTCCGTTTTCCGATTCCGGTGGTCTCCCGTCGGCCTCCGCTTCCCTCTTCGCTGTTTTCCGTTTTCCCCTTTCCGGTTTCCCGTTTCCGTTTTTTGGTTCCGGTTTCCGCTTTCCGTTTTCCGTTTTCCGGTTCCGGTGCTCTCCCGTCACCCCCCGCGTCTTTCTTCTCCGTTTTCCATTTTCCGTTTTCCGATTCTTGTCGTCTGCCGTCGGCCTCCGCTTCTTTCTTCGCTGTTTTCCGTTTTCCGGTTTCCGGTTTCCGGTTCCGGTTTCCGCTCCCCTTCCAGCCCAGCGGAACCATCTCCGGTGATGACCTCGATTTTCGGTACAATCTGCGCCGTTCCTCCGAGAACCATTCCAGAAAGATGTCGTGGACGGAGTCCACGGGTCAGCCCTAGTCAGCTACAACGCTGGGATCAGCGCGTGCGAGAAGAGCGAGCAATGGCAGCGGGCTGTTGCGCTACTACGCCAGACAAGTGAGTCAAAGTTGGCGTCAGCTGCGATCAGCTACAGCGCCGGGACCAGCGCGCCCGAGAAGGGCGGGCAGTGGCAGCGGGCTCTGGCGCTGCTGCGGGAGCTGCGGGAGGCGCAGCTGGAGCCCAACGTCACCCGCACGACACTCCCGACCGCGACGCGTGCGCAGGCAGCGAGCTGCTCGAACCGCCCCGGAGCGCCCCGAGCGCCCTCGGGGCCCCCAGGGCGCTCCCCCGGGTGCGCTCCCCTGGGGCGCTCCCTTGGGGCGCTCCCCCGGGGCGCCCCGAGCCCCCGCGGGCCCCCGATGTCTCCAAGACGGCCTCAGGCAGTCCCAAGACAGCTCCGAGGCGCTCCGGAGGGCGCCGGGGCGGCCCAAGAGGGCCCCATCGGAGCCCCCGTGACGGCTTAGGAGGGCCCGCCGACAGGCCAGGAGCCCCCACGGACGGCCCAAGAGAACCCCGACGACAGTCCCCCCGAGGCGAAAATCTTGCATCTCCCGTCGGTTTTTGAAGGGTGTTCACATTCTTTCCATTTCGGCCCAAGAGCGGCCCCAGACGGCTCCGGGAGCGTCTCAGATCGCTCGAAGTCCAGGAGGCCCCGACAAGGGCCCCAAGACAGCCAAACGGGCCCCATGACTGGCCAAGAGGGTCCCAAGACAGCCGAATAGAGCTCCGGGTGGCCCCCAAGACTACCCTGAGAGGGCCCCAGGAGCTGCCCAACAGATCCCAAAGCGGGCTCCAAGACGGCCCGAGACCGCCAACATCGCCCCAGGACAGCCCGAGAGGCCCCCGAGACGGCTCGGGAGATCTCCCAAATGGCCCAAGAAGGCCTCGAGAGCTGCCAAAGAGGACCCAAAGCGGGCTCCCAAACGGCCCGAGCCATCCGATATAGCCCCCAGACGTCCCAAAACTTCGAACATCAACAGCCCCCTAGATGGCCCCAGGACGTCCCTGCAAGCCCCCGCGGCGGCCCAAGAGCGTTCCAAAATGGCCCCGGAAACGCCCCAGAGGCTCCGGAAAGACGCACAAGAGGCCTCCAAGAAGGTCCGAAGATAGTCCAGACGACGGGCATCCCGCAGCTGCAAATGGGCCAAGAAGAACCTTCGCAGGACCACTCCTTCCAAGGACCACTCCGATGCCCCAGAATCTCCCAAGAGACTCAGACACTTGCCAAGGAGCTGTTAGTATCAGCCACGGCACCCTTTCGCCGTCCTTGGAACCCCAGAAGCCCCAAAGACAGCCCCAGACCCCGAACGAAGCCCTGGACCACTCCGAGGCGCCCCAGACCCTCCCAAGATACTCCGATAATTCCAACTGAGCTCCCAAGAGTGCCTCCCGTCCTTGTGCCTCCCCAGCAGCCTTCAACAAAGTTTCTAACCCATAACAAGGCCCAACGAGCATCCTCTCCCCGCTCAGCTCCCTTCTCTCACTCCTCCTCCTCCTCCTCCTCCTCCTCCTCCTCCTCCTCCTCCTCCTCCTCCTCCTCCTCCTCCTGATCCTTCTCCTTGGCTCCCCTTCCTCCAAGCTCCAGCCACTCTGGGGTCCCCCCTCACAGCCGATTCGGAGTGGCAAAGGGGACCTGTAGACACATCGGAGGCCCTGCGTCAGCACCCGCACCCTTTGCTGTCTCCGAATGCCTCCAAAAGAATCCGAAGACCGCCCCTCGCTCCAGAGCTGCTCTCTCCCTCCTCGGCCTCCTGCTCGCACTCATGCGCCTCAATCCCTCCTCCTCTGCACCCCGCGCACCCCAGCACGTCTCCAGCCCCCCCCTCTGTGATTGAGGGTGCCAAGGGGAACCTCTTCTCTCTTCTCCACCCTGGCTTCTTCGTCTGCGAGCCTGCACCTCCCTCTCTGGCACCGCTCTCTTCCTCCTACACCCCACCAGACAGGCACGCCCGAGGACCCATCATGCCCCGGACAGGGCCCCAGAGACATCCGAGCTGTTCAATTTCGACGAGCTGTTCACCCCCACGGTGTGCGAGTCCCAGTTCCAGCACACCGTGGATTTGGTCCATGTGTTCACACCAGTTAGCTACAGCGCTGGGATCAGCGCGTGCGAGAAGGGCGAACAGTGGCAGCGGGCTCTGTCACTGCTGAGGGAGATGTTGGAGGCGAAGCTGGAGCCCAACATCATCAGTACTACAATTCTGGCCGCGGCGCGTGCGAAAAGGGGTTGTAGAGACATCCCCAAGACAGCTCTGAGACGCTCCAGAGCGCGCGAGGACAAGAGCGATCCCGGGAAGAGACTCCCACAGTTTCCACGGGGCCCCCACGAGCGATCCCAGGACCACTCCGAGATGGCCCAGAGTCGCCCTCAAGACCTCCCCCCCCTACGGCCGATTAGGGCTGACAGGGGGGACCTTCTCCTCGGATCTCTTCCTCTTGCCATCATCGAGGCTCCGGCCGCTCTGGGGCCTCCACTCCGCCTGTTAGGGGTGACTAGAGACCTGCAGCCATGTCGGTCGCTCCCCCTCTACGGCCGGTAAGGAAACCCTCGGTTGCCCCCAAGACAGCCCCACGACCACGAGATCCCTCCCTGGACCACTCCGAAATTGCGCAGAGCCCCCCAGGATATTCGAAGACAGCCTCCTGCCACGGTTCCCAGAGCATGCAGCGAACCTTGCAGTTAACCTCGGGGGTGACAGGGGGACTTTCTGATAGCAACTTCACAGCACGCACGCACAATAAGTTTCTCGGACTGTCCCCCGGAAGAGGCTCTGGGAGACAACCCGGGAAGGGCCCCAGAAGCGCCTAAAAACCGCAAGAGGCTTTCAACAAGACGCCCCAGACAGGCTCGCGTGAGGGCCCAACATGCCCCCGACCCGGCCCCGGGGACGCCCGAGCTGTTCAACGTCGACGAGCTGTTCACTCACAGTGTGCGAGTCCCAGGTTCAGCGCACCGTGGATTTAATCCACGGGTGCACACTAGTCAGCTACAGCTCTGGGATCAACGCGTGCGAGAAAGGGAAGCAATGGGAGCGAGCTCTTGCGCTTCTCAGCGAAATGTTGGAGGCGAAGCTGGAGCCCCCCGTAATCAGCTATATCGCTGGAGTCAGAGCCTGCGAGGTCAGCGAATTATGGACCAAAGCCCTGGACCTGCTCGACTCGATGCTGGGAGCCCGTGTGGACCCTGCTGCTGCCGACAGCCCACGCGAAGGCCGGTACGTGCACGACTTCGAAGCAGGTGGTCCCAAGGACGTCTTCAAGCATATCGTTCTCGTGGCTCTTCTGCAGCAGATGGCGGCGGAGGACGCAGATCCCTTCACTTTTATCGACATGCACGCCGCTTCCGGTGTCTACGACCTCAGCTCCGAGGAGACGCTCCGATACCGGATGTTTGAAAGGGGCGTGCTTCGGCTGTCACACGCAGCTGCCCGCAGCGGCGAGGGTCTGGTTGCAGACTACCTGGCCACGGTGCGGAGGTGCAACCAGGTTTTGGGCTCCTCCTCGCGCGCCCTGACCCTCTACCCGGGCTCGCCTGCGCTGGCGTGGCAGTGGCTGAGGCCACAGGACACCATCGTTCTGTTCGAGGCCGCCGCCGAGCCTTACGAGGCCCTGAGGCGGAGCTTCTCCTTGCTGGATCGAGGGGTCGGTCGCCGCCTCTCGCTGCTCCACGACGACTCCTACCTGCGGCTCACCTCTGGGCCCTGGCCCTGGCCCAGCGGGCGGCAGCTGGTGCTCCTGGACCCGCCCTACGACTCCGTGCAGTCCCAACACACGTGGAACGTGTTCGCCCTCAGGCGCCTGCTCCAGAAGTCTCCCTCCAGCTGCGTTGCCATGTGGTACCCGCTGGTGGACCAGGAGAGGGTCGCGGGTCTGCACAGCCGTGTCCAGAGCCTCGGCGCGGGCAGCGTGCTCGTGGCCGAGGTGTGGCTCGGCGGTTCGTGGCCGCGTGGAGGTGCCCTGCAGGGGTCGGGGATGCTGGTCGTGAACCCGCCCCCTGCGCTTCACGCACAACTCCTCGCGGCACTGCCTGAGCTCCGGGAGTCGCTACGGGCCACAGGATCCCGGGTCCTGTGGCTATGATCTGGACGCCCGAAATGGGTACGGAAAGAATGGGTACAATGCCCAACTGCAGCTCCTGTTCATTTTAAACAGGACTCACTGTCCACGCCGCCGCGGCCTGTGTCCAGTCAAGACAGCAGGCCGCCTGCCCAACAGCGGCCGCTGTTGGTTTGGGACAACATTTGTTGTTGGGCATTGTACCCATTCTTTCCGTGCCCATTTCGGGCGTCCAAATATGAGGCCTCTCGGCTGGCCAGACCTTGGAGGCCTCACGCAAGCTGGATTGGATACGGCCCGCTTTCAATACCATTGTGACTGCTCCTTGGCCGGACGAGGCCGAGTCCGCGCCGAAATAAAACAGCTACAGCGCTGGGATCAGCGCGCGGGCGCAAGGCGGGCAGTGTCAGCGGCCTTTGGCTTTGCTGAGCGAGGTGTGGGAGGCGAAGCTGGAGCCCAATACCATTAGCCATTGGGATCAGCCCCTGCGAGAAAAGTGAGCAGTGGCAACGGGCTATGGCACTGCCGAGCGACATGAGAGAAGCGCAGCTGGAGCCCAGCATCATCTGTCCACAACGCGCTGGGATCAGCGCGTGCGAGAAGGACGAGCAGTGGCAGCGGTGTTTGGCGCTGCTAAGTGAGATTATGGGAGGCGGAGCTGGAGCCCACCGTCAGCAGTCTATTCCAGTGCCGGCCGCACAGGGAGCTTCAAGTGGCCCGGCCTGCCCGAGCGCGCCGCTGGGCGACCCCAGGACGCTCCAAGAAGTCCACAGAGGGCCCCAACGCGGCCCAGGATGGCCCGAGACGCCTCCAGGCGGTCTGAGAGATCGCCAAGATGGCCTTCCGACGGCCCAACAGGGCCCCAAGACGGCCCAACAAGGCGTTCAAGAGGTGCCTCAAAAGGGCCCCAAGAGCCCAAAATCATGGATTTCCTTGCGGCATTGGGGGGGGGTCTTGGCGCGTCGCCTCGTCGGGATTCCGACGCTCCAAGACGGCCCAACAGGCCCCCGGCATCGCCCCAAGACGGCGCGGCGGGCCCCCGAGAGGGCCCCCCGAAAACCCACGAGGGCCTCTGTGGGGCCCCGACTGCCCCGGACGGCCCCGAGAGCCCGAGAGGGGGAACTCGATCTGTCACGTCGCGCCCTCCGCCCCGAGAGGATTCCCGAGGCCGCCGGCAGGCCCCAGGGGAGGCCCCCCAGGAGGCCCCCACCAGAGGCCCCCACCAGAGGCCCCCCCCAAGAGGCCCCCACCAGAGGCCTCAGGAGGCTCCCGAGAGGCCCAACCTCGGGCCCCGAGGGGCCTGAGAGGCCCCCCCCCCGAGGGCCCGAGACGCCCCCGAAGCCGCCTCCGGGAGGGTTCCCAGGGAAGATCCCTTCGAGAGCTCTGGGACCTCGCCGGCCACCCAGGCAGACCATAAGTGGCACCCCTGCGCGTCCTGTGCTAGTGATATATCAAGCAGTGGCGAAGCGTCCTGGCTCGCCTATAGCCCTACCAAACAATGTTCTAAGAGCCTTTTGACGTTCCCACGAAATGTTCTTAGAACATGTCTGGATGGGACTGTCTTGTTTTATCACATCGGGTTTTTGTTCTAAGAACATGGTTTGTGTTCTTGGAACATTTTGAGGTTCGAAGAACACTTCATGGTAGGACTATAAGAATGCCGGGACGGTCAGTCCCTGCTCAAATATATGTTCAATTCCTCCACGGTCGGGTGGACCTTCAGCCCCTCGGCAACCCACTGCCGTCCAACCAGAGAGCGACCAGACCAGACGGCCCAGCACGAAGAAGGCAACAACAGGCCTTGAACAAAGCACTCCTCTGTGGAGCTGCTCCGGCCCGACTGGGCGGCCCGCTGGGGAGACCTCCCCCCGAGAGGGTGCTCAGCGCGACGCGCCGGCCGCCGCGGCCCTGCTCCGCGGCGCCTTCCGCCCGCTTCCGGGCCTGCGCAGCCCGCGACCCAGACATGCGACGTCCTGATGTTTTGCCCATTTTTGAATCCCCCTCCTGTAGAGGGACAAGCCCGACGTAAGCTCAGGGGGCGCTCCCCCCCTAATTTTTCGCCCTCGCCCCTGCTGCCTCGACCTCGGGTCCCAGACATGCGACGTCCTGTCCCTGGAAGTCCCGACCCTTTCCCCGGGACCGGTTTTTCGTCCTGAGTCGTTGTTTGACGGTCCCGAGGCCTGGCGAGGGCCCCCCCGGGCCGAAAATAGCCAATAACCTCCCGCCCTGTTTTTTTCACGGCGCGATCATGTCTAGGGAGCCTCCTCCTCAGCCTCCTCGGACGGCCACGGCCACGAGGGAGCCTCCCTCGCTGGAAGATTCCCGGAGAGCTCGCAGAGAGCTATAAGAGGGTTTTGCACATGTAAGAAGCCGGAGCGGAGCGCGCACACGTCGCCGCGCAACTGGTCCCGACGCGATGCCTTGCGTCTTAGGGATAGGGCGCCGCGGGCACCACGAGCAGACAGGATTGTCATCGCGTCGGGGGGGAGAAAATGTCAATTATCATACTCATGATAATAACAATAATAATAGTAATAATAATAATAATAATGATAATAATAATAATAATAATAATAATAGTAATAGTAATATTAATAATATTAGTGATAATAATAATAATAGTAGTAGTAGTAGTAGTAGTAGTAATGATAATAGTAATAATAATAATAGTAAGACTAGTAATAATAGCAACAACAATAAAAAAATAATAACACACAGTAAGTAATGATAATGATAATTACAGAACAACACGAATGATGCTGATACTAGCAATAGTAATAAATAATGCTAATAATAGTAATAATAAAAATCATCAGCATCATGATCATAATCAGAATCCTAAATATTGATGATACTAATAGTACGACTAATAGGAATAATGAAAACTAACAATACGAGAAATACTTACTATCATCAATAAGAATTACCTGTATAGTTACAATTGTCATTATACTTCTAATAATTCGAATCATTATGATTACTACGATAATTATAAGGATAATATATACATATACATACAAACAACTAATCATGATAAGTATCTAGTATGATATTTAAACACAACAAAACGACTGGAGGTTTTTAGCCGTTTTCGGTCTCTTGGGGCCCTCGCCGGGCCCACGGACCGTCAAAAAACGAGTCGGGATGAAAATCCGGCCCCGGGGACAGGGTCGGGATTTCCCGGGACCGCACATTGAAAAAATCAGGGCGTCGCATGTCTTGGCGGCAAGCGCCGCTTGGGGCGCGGGGCGAAGGGCTTGCCGTGGGGTTGCCATGGTGTCGGCGTCGTCCACTTGGGCGCGTCGAGAAAAAAACGCGCAGCGACACATGCGTTCTTCATGTCAGTCTTGGCCATGTACGGCTCCAGGGCGGCAGGGTCGTCCCAGGGCAACCCACGACGCCGCCTCTGACAGCCCTCAGTACCCCCCGAAGGCCCAGCCAGGCTCCGAGGTAGCCCAAGGAACTCAAGAGAACGCCCAGGTTCAGCCCTGAAGAGCCCCGTTACAGTTCTCGGCAGCAAACAGCAGCAAGCAGCAAGCCCGCCAGCAAGACAAGCAAGCATGAAGCAAGCAACAAGCCAATTCAAGCAGGCAAGCTGTTCGCAAGCAGCACTGGCGGCAAGCAGCCTATAGAACCAAGCAGCAACAAGCACACGATGGAAACGCTGGTTGACGTGGACGGAGTCCGCGGGTCAGCCCTAGTCTCTTGTACAATGCAGACATACGTGCGTCTGAAGAGGGCGATGTCTTGATAGCTGCCCCAGCGCCCCGGTGGGCCCCAGCGGGCCCCCCCGGCCACCCTGGCGAGCTCCAGCAGACCCGGGCCCGCCTCCGAGACCACCGAAGAGGGCTCCGTCACGGTCCGAGGGCGCTCCAAGGCGCCCTGGATAGCCTCAAGGCGGGCGAAGAGGCCCCCAGGACGCCCCAAGAGAGCTCCAAGTGGACCTCCCAAGAGCGCACCCATGAGCAAAAAACGTTCCAGTCCTGTCGGGAAAATCACATGTGTAGCATTCCCGCTTCTGCTGTCTTGACCACGCTCCAGATGGCCCCACCACTCCCCACGATTGCCCCAAGACGCCCCAGGAGGCCCCACAGGCAGCCCAAAACGATTTCAGCACGGCCCAAGAGACGCCCCAGATGGCCCAAGAGGACCCAAGAGCGGCCCCAAGACGGCCCAGCGCGGCCCTCAAGCGGCCCCGGAAGGGGCCCCAGGCGCCCGAAGACGGCCTCAGAGGCGCCCAAAACGGCCCAAGAGCGCCCCAGGACACCGAAGGGCAGCCCCAAGAGGTCCCCGACACCGGCCCCCACAAGACGCCCCGAGAGGCTCCAGAACTGCCTCCAGCAGAGGAGCGGCGGACGAGAGGCGACAAGCAAGTCGCACTCCCAAGCAATTCTTTTTGGGCGCTCCGAGGGCCCTGCAGACTCAACGTTTTGCTGGCGCCGGCGGGTGCCCACCAGACGGCGCCCCGCGCTTCGGCGGCCCGTCGCGGCAGCACGACAGAACAGCGAACAGCAGCAGCCCGCAGCAGGCAACGGCAGCACAGCAAAAGCGAGCAGCAGCAACAGCATGCCGCAGACAACAGCACCCTGGATCGGTAGGCAGCAGCGACAGAGGTGAAGTTCGGGCCCTACGTAATCACGCAAGCCTTTCGGCAACATCTCTGCCTTGGTCCAGCGTGCCATCTCGGAAAGATGTCGTGGCCGGTCGGCCGCGGCTCGGCCCTAGTCAGCGTCAGTGCCCGTAGCAGCGCGTGCAAGAAGGGCACACAGTGGCAGCGGGCGCTGGTGCTGCTCACCAAGATGTCGGATACGAAGGCGAAGCTGGTGCCCGACGTCATCAGCTGCAGCGCCGGGATCATTGCTTGCGATAGGGCTGGGCAGGGGCAACAAGCGACGTGGTGGCTCATGCGACGCGGAATGCGAAGCTTCAATGGTGCACTCGTTATTGCAATGCGTTGGTAGATATTGAGCAGGTCAACTTGCAATCCTGGGAACGCTCACGAGACAGGCAAGTAGCCGCAGCAG